AGAGAAAACCTGGCCATTAAAATAATTTCTGAGACCGATGAAATAACGTTGACATAATATTTTGCTTGCACAATAAATTAACTCTTTGAAATAACGCATTGATGTAAACGCAAATATTTTAAATTTTATCAAAGTAATAAAATATGGAGATATCAAAATCAGCTTTTTAACTTATTTAGAAAAGTGATCAATTTTTTTACATACTTTTATATAAATAAATTTATAAACGACGCAATGTAATTAAATAAAATGAATCAATATGAAAGAAAAAGTGATAAGTGAAAATAATAAAATTAAACATTAACACATTAATTAATAATAACATTAATTAATAATAAAATTAAACATTAAACAATATTTATCAAGTAAATCCATCATATATAAGTCTTTTCTCTCGCTCGTTTTATTTCGGCAATTATAAAATTGAATCTATATCCATTAAATCTTTATGATCAGAGAAAAGGGAACGAAGAAAATATAATTTTTCACACGTTTAGCGTCACGATTCTTTCATTATTATCGGCACGTGAAATGGAATTAAGTGCATCCGTGTCTAAATGGGTCAATTATCTTAACACGTGCATAAATTAGAGAGAGATGCAGCCATTTTGGCGCACAGGATGTTGAGCGCTGTTATTTTTTCTTCTTTTTCCTTAGGTAAAGATATCGAAGCAGGCGCGAAGTAACGGCTGCGGGTTGTAAAATAAACAGTTCAGATTTATTGCGCGGGTATGGAAGAAACGTGCGCGTCTACGAACGAATGCGTTTCTAAGTTCCTCGTTTTAACGAGCGTATTAAGTACGTAACGGGGCCTTCCAGTCGCGAATCGCTATCGGTGTATCGCGATGGGCACACTCGATAGTTACGCGACCAACTGAAGAGCGCTCAACGCGATAAAGCTGATCTCCAATTCCGTGCTCGCGGAGCGGAAAAAATTGACGCGGAAAGACGCTTTTTTTATTGTAATAAAGACGATTAAAAAAAATTGCTGATCAAAACAAATTTATATCTGACAATGAGATAAATAAAATACATATAGGTTAATTTAAATGCATAAGAAGTTGATTAACCTCACGGAAAAATTAAAAAAAACTAATATAAAAGGACTGACAACCAACTGCACGTAATGGTACGATAAGAACCTATAAAAATATATAACAGAACTTATTTATATTTCAAGAATTTTTATATGAATTTCTGATTTCGCGCTGCAGTTGGCTATTTTTTTTGTTTTTTGTCTTAATTGCTTCTATAAATCATTACTTCTTATTCTTTCATATAGATTGAAAAAATATCTTTTAGAAATTCGTTGCACCATAATGACGAATGACGATCTGAGATATCAAGTTCAAAGTATGCGTGTCTTTTCAAAAATTTTACAAAGACTGTATCATTTTTATATTGCTGCTTTAATCATTATTTTATAATAAATAGATATAAATCTATATTTCTCGTGCAAGCAAAACATTATCATCGTAGAACATCGAATTTCAAATTGTAACACGTGTGTATAATAATGTAATAACTCTTAATTTAATTGTGTGCGTGTTTAATAACGTTTAGAAAATTCATTTCTTTTCCCAGAAATTAATTAAGATACTGAACTCAGTGGTCTAACAAACTCTAGGATCTGCAAAGCAACTGTACTACATAGTTAACCTACGTCCCTTCCGTCCAACGTTCTTTGAAAGAAAGTGCACTTCGTTTCGCGGAGCGATAACTCACGCATCGTCGCGCGCTCGTACACACACGGGGAACAACCGCCGCCGCCACCACACCATCACCATCATCATCATCATCATCATCATCATCATCGTCCTCGAATAGACAAGAGGGACGGGGGAAAAGCGCCAGGGTACCGGAGTAAACGCACCATCCCGTCCCGAGCGCTCGCAATTAAGGGTTAATTAAATTGAGCGGCTTCCTAGATTTCTGTAATCATCGCGGACAGTATCTACGGGGTAATCTTCAGCGCATCCTGTCTGCCTCGAGGGCCCCACGGAAGGAAGGGGCCCCGAGGTAAGGTCATGCACCCCGCTGACCTCGGACCATCGTCTCTCTCCCGCCCCCCTCTCTTTCTCTCTCTCTCTCTTTCTCTCTAGTCCTGTTCCCTCCTTCCCGTCCCTCTTCTCGTTACTCCTCCACCTTCACTCCTCCTCGTTCCTTCTCTTCTCTCGCGCCTTCAACCCTCCCCCCTCCATCATCCACGACCTCTCGCCTCTTCTGCCTCCTCCCGTTGCTGCTGTTGCTGTTGCCGTTGCTGCTGCTGCTGCTGCTGCTGCCGCTCCTGCCGGCGGTGCCGGCAACCCCCCTTGCCCTCGTCACCCTCTCCCACCCCGCGGCCCTTCGCCCTTCGTGCACTTTTCTTTTCTTCGGCCTCTTCTTCGTCTTCTACTTCTTCGCCTTCTTCTTCGTTTGCCTCTTTCGTCCTCTTCCTCTGCTCTTTTTCTTTTCCTCTTTCCTTCTCGTGAATCTTTCGTGCGAACGTATATGGCAGAGACCAGGTGAGTGTATACGGAGTTACGTGCCCCGCGCTCGCGAGCGACGCTCGAATTATTATCAAAGACCGGGGCATCATCGCGGATAATGGGCGGATGTCGCTGTGACAGGGCAGAAAACGCGACGTCTTCGCCGCGCGTCTCGCATCTACGTTCCTGTGGGAAAAACTGCGCCGCGAGCAGGAGAGCCGTCGGCTCTCGTGCGAATAATCGTGCGCGAGCTTCTCTTTCGTGAAGTACAACGTGGCTCACGATATTCGAGAATGTGCCGTTGGGAAGTCATGCGCTTTCTGCGACTCGCATATGAAAGAGGCCAGACCGAAATGAAGGACAGCTGTTCCGGTCTCGGGGTTTCGATAATATGTAATGAAAGATACCCAGAGGATATTAAAGAGACCTAAGGACGTTTCAACAGTAAAACTTATGTACTTTTCTTTCAGAGATCACCTTACCAAGATTTTGATTCTGAGATTAGTATATTAAATTATTAAATTTGTGTTCACTTAAAAGCAAAGTAATTTCGAAATGCGAGTCTTGAGAGGAAGCCTATGTGGCTGCGATGAATAAAGAGATTTATCCTGAGAGTATGTAATGTGAAACAAAATTAAAATTACAGCAGTATTCAAAATAATATTTTTTCTATTTTTTAAATGATTTTTTGCCTTTTCCTTATTGTTAATCTGATATGCTGCTCTAACGACTTTACGCTAAAAACGCACAGAAATGGTGGCTTTAATTAATGCTACAGATGAAAAGCCAAGAAATCACTTAATTTGCTGTAGCCGCTATATTTCGTCACATTTTTTTCTCATCGCGAAATCGCCGATTTCCGTTTGAGTCTCCCGTCGATAGCCGTGTAAGTCGCCGACGCGTGCGGCTGATACGCGTAAAAACGCGTGATTTACCGGGTTTACGATCGCGGCGCGAGCACGCTTCGGGGCAGACGGACGGCCGCACCGACCACGATGGACGGCCACGTCTCGGACGGAAGTGGTTATACACCTGGGCAGGCCGAGAGAGCCGATGACCAGCGAGAGAGAGAGAGAGAGAGAGAGAGAGAGAGAGAGCGCTTCTCTCTTCCTCGTGCACACGGCGGAACAAGGTCAGATGTTATCGCGAACGGCGCGAGTAGCCAAGTTCAAGAACGGAGGAACGTGGAATCACGGGCGGGGATAAGGCGTGGGAACCTTTCTGGCCTTTCCACGGGCTGCAATTAAAAGTTCCTGCCGCGGCAAAGCGCGCCGAAAGCCATGTTTCGAAAACATGATATCCTCAGATAGAAACATTACCGAAGTGAAACAGTAACGCGCGTATACTCAGAATCATTAAGCTAATTTGGAGATCTAGTCGCGAAGATAGTCGTATATATAATCAGTAAACTTGCAATGAAAGTAATCACATGTTTGCAGAAATCATACTGTGCATATAAATGATAGCCCGCATAATATATTAATAATATTAAATTAATATTTCTTATAAAATTCTTTTATATCGCAATTACAAATTCCTTTTCACTAGACTTGAAGACATCTGATTAGATAATTCTATATATATACATATATATATGTATATATATAAAAATTGTATTGTGTATTATTAAATAAAATATGTATAATTCCAAAAATTCCACAGCTCAATCAGAATAATATCAAGTAGTACCAAAAATCAGAAAAGGAAGCTCGATTTGCGAACCGTGTGACGGAGAGTTTAACGGGTGATCACAGCGAGTCGCGAATGTTATCATCGGATCGATACTTTGTCGGCGACGTTTCTCCGAATATTGCAATCAAACAAGTGGCCTCTTAATCGACAGTTGTAAAAGGCATCATTTCTGGAATAAACTACGAAATATAATCGAAATATAATATAAAAGTTTTCCTTCAACGTTATAAAACTACTTCCAATCGAATCACAAAACATGATGCATTCTTTCCGAAGAACAGCACGACGAACAAACAGAGATATTTTCGTCATGATGCACTTCGATCTAATGCATGTATTCATTGTGTTATTTTAAATATCCATTCAAAGTTCATTCCACATCGGAGAAACATCGTCCGACCATGATGATTTTTCATATTTTTACTACAAAAAGCGCGCAACGGAAAAAGATTTCGAGAAAAAAATATCACAAGCGCCTAATTTTTTATATTTCATATTCGATATTTTCTATATTTAATATTTTTATTTTAATATTTGATGTAATCATATAATGCTAGATCTTAATTTCGATCGAAAAAACTTATTTTGGACATATATTAAAATATAAAATAAAAGTTATAAACTATATGTTAAATAGTTACATCTTATTAAAAATATTTTGTTGAACAAAGTTTTGAATATTCAGTTGAACAGTTTTCTATGAACTTTTCCTAAAAATTGATACACTTGTAATATTTTTTTTGGAAAATTTCGAGTATTACCGTCAAGACATTTTGGCGACCTCGATGTAATCACCAGTAGAGATCGATTGCTAATAAATTCGTAAAAAGGGTTCAGTACAGTGCATACCTTCCCGGCGCATGCCCATCTTCAGGCACTTTTTCAAGCGGCAAAACTGGCACTGGTTTCTATGGTGTTGGTCGATCGGACAATTCCTAGTCCCTCGACACGAGTACGTTAAGTTCCGCCTGACACTCCTCTTGAAGAAACTCTTGCATCCTGAAAAGAAATCGAACAACACGTTAGATTTAAATTTAAATTCACATTTGATCGTATATTTAAACAGTCCTAAATCCACTTAAAAATATTAGTCTTCCGTATTTTAATGGCAATAATTTATACACGAATAAATCTTTTTGCTCATATTTGTCATTGCGGAACGAATTCTCGCTGGAATGTCCTCATTACAAAAAAAAATCTATTTCCTGTAAATTCTCTCTATAGTCAATTTAAATTTTAATACATCAATCGTACTTTCTCCATTAATGTCATGTACGATTAGATACCTTACGAGACCAATCTTCTAGCATAAAAACATTAACCACCTTTTCACCGACAGCAAAAATATATATATTTTCCTTACGTTCGCGTTAATTCACGCGTTACAATACACGCGTGTAATAACGAAAGACAGCACTCGATCGGCACTCGATAAAGCATATAAGCGATTAGCTACCACGTGCTGAAATCAAGATCCATCCGAGATGTACGTAGACGGTTACGCAGATTCTTATTGATAGAGCATGTACGAGCAGCCATAAACGTGACGGGACTAATGCTCATGGAACGGCACGGTAAGTTTCTCTTGTTTATTGGATACATCTCGCGGCGCACGTACCTATCACGTAAACGTGTACGTGTGGAACGACAAGATTGCGTAGTGCGATCGCAGGGGGAACGGGGGAGGGGGGGAGTGAGAGAGGCATAGGAAAGATGAGGAATACAGGGAACGGCGGGGAGGCCTCGCGGACCGATGATACGTGATTACGCAAATTCTGTAACATGCACGTTGCAACGAGACCGATGCACCTTGAGGTCAACGTTAGGGAGCGCGGATCTAAGTTACGGCGGATGCCACGAACCGGCACAATGGCGGCCCGCACACATGCACACACGCGCGCGTCCGCGCGAGACGCTCGATATAGGCAGATATACGCGCGCGGCTGCCTCCTTATGGGAATGAGGAGCCGGCCGAGTCGAAAGTGCCGACGGACTTGATCACGAAAATCCTATTAGTAGCCGTCCCGCTGAGATCGAGTGCTCCGCGCTAGTTCTCTCCGCTTCGCCGCATTACCCCGCGGTTACAGGCGATCCGCCGCGAGTTTTCGCAGCATTACTCCGGATTTATATCCGGATATCGTTCCAGAATCGATGCGATCCGCGATGATCTTGAGAATTTCATGAAATGCACAATCGCAGAACTTAGCGAAATCTTGTCGAAACTATTATTGTTAAGAAAGAATTGATTTAAAATTCGTCTCTTAAGTAAATAATTTAATGCTGCTCATTAAAGTTCATAATATGCAATCAATTATTAGATATCAGCCAAGCATTAAGATGAATATGTATATTTAAACGCAATCGATTTTTTCTTAAACAATTCCTCGTTATTAAATAGATTGAAAGATACAATTTTTGGTGGAAAATTGAAAAAATTGAAAAAAATTCTCTAAAAATCGATTCTTTCTGATTATTTAAAAATCTATTCTTTTTAAATGCAAGATTTATTCATTTCATTTTTCTTGAACGTTTATTACTATAACTTAACTCTTAATCACTGCAGTTTGACTCTTCCGTATTTCCATTATCTTTTTATTTGTGGAAAACTGCAAACAGCGAAGGCGAACGCACCGCAATAATAATCCTAGCGAGCCGTCAGGTCGGCCGTTCTTTGATTGGCGCGCGAATGGTCGTGCTCACGCGGCTTCCTAATGAGCGGTTAGTTAATTGCTGGTGGTAATGGGGCGGCAGGGAAGAGAAAGGAGTCCGATAAAGAGCCACTGCCACGGGGTGACGACGCGGTGCGACACAATTCAATTTAATAAACAGCGAGGCGAGCAATAATTCCGCGTCGTAAAAGCACGTGGGACACGCACGTGAGCAAGAGACCAGCACCAGCCAGCAGCGCGCGCGCGCGCGCGCGCCCGAGTGGTACCAGAGGTTAAAAGGCGATCGGGGCCACGCGGTTGATTTTAATTAAAACGGACCCCGCCGGATAGAACGCGCGCGCGCGCGCGCGCACCTGCGTGCGAGCACCGGCGGAACGAAATCGAGGGTATCTCTGGAAGGAAGGAGGATCTCTCATGTTTATATTAACAGGATTATCCTAATAAAGGTGCACGAAATGATAGCGGTAAAAAATTCGGATATCAAAGTTAGATGGGAATCTTGTACTTGGAAAAAAAGTTAAAATATTACAAATAAATATTTATGTGTTAATTATCATATAATAATTCATGAAAATGTTGTCAGAAGAAATTCCGATCATCCACTCGATAATTCTATACGATTTAAATAATTTGCTTAAATGCTCATCGAGTCACGTAATTATTAGATATGCGATTCACGAGTTCTTTATCACAAATTTACGTGAAATTATTTCAACGACGAGTAGCGATGGAATCCGCGGGGATAAGAACTCTGGACGACGCAAAGGATCGCGCGCGTACTTCGTAAGGATTATAGGTACACATCTCTCGCCAGAGGATCAGGCTTAGGTGTAGCAAAGTCGACTCTATCACGATCGATGGGACGGTGTATAAATATAGATAAATAGTTAGCGCAGCTAAGTCGGCAATTTATATCGTAACAGAACGCCCGCTGCGCACGAACTTTCGAATCGAGATAAAGAGGTGGTCTCGCTCGCCGCGGTCTGTAAGTCATTCGCACGAGCTTACTAATACTCTTGTTCTCTCGCGCGCAGATATCCTCTCCGCTGAGGCATCCGTCTCGTCGCCGAGATAGAGGACGCGATATATCGGTGACGCGAACAATCGCGTAAGAAAAGCGTGAGTCGCCGTTATGATCTGGGAACAATACGAATGCGTCTTTCGGCGCATGATATCAAGATGAAATTATCGCTCTTTTTCAATGTATATAAATAAATAAAAATTGAGACTCTGATAAAATATAAATATTTCGTGTAATTTCAATCATTCAAAATAAATTGGGAAAAGTTGTATCAATAGAAATTAAAGTATTGATGTATGTAATTAAGTCCACTATACTAATTACATTAATTTGACAATCTTATAATCTCTGTACAGAGGGTACAAAGTACCTATACGTTTCGTCATTTAATATATGACACGCAAAATTACGATCGAAAAAAAGATTAAAGTTATCATCGCGACTCCTAAACTAACGATCGCGACTTCTCCCATTTTCCTCTTCGATGCTAAATGAGAAAATAAGCTCGCCAAAGAGAGATCAAAGACTATTCATGCTCGTACTAAATCTACGAGTCCTCTTCGTCTTTAGAGCTTAAGCCTCCTCGGTGCTCGACGTCGTTGTCGCTGCCGTTATTCCTGTCGTTGCCGATGTCGATGTCGTCGGTACCGGCAAAAACGAAGAACGAATGGTGGGGGGAGGGGGGGGGCGGAGGAAAAAAAGAAGACGGAAAAAGAGCCGGGTCGCCATAACTACAAATTGCATCGTTACACGCAAATTACGCGATTATTCTGTGCGAGCCAACCACCGAGCGACCATGCAGTATATATGTGAGCTCCGTGGTAGCGAGAGAGCAACGAGGGAAAGAGAGACGGGGGGAGAGCAAGAAACACACCGGAGAGCGAATACGACGAAGACGAGATATGAGGAAGAAAGGGAGAGAAAGAGAGAAAGCTCGCTCGCGCGCGCAGCGCACAACTACCGTTTATACTTTCAGATTGCAGCTTGCGAGCTCGCCGCGAGCTCAAATTGCTCGCGTCATTGAATTTTCATTGCTCGGGCTAGTCCTCCGTGGCATGGCACGGCGCGGCGCGTTCCGAGTGCCAACTCTCGGCAGGACAAACCCTCGTCGCGATCGTCGATATGGAGAGAACCAGACGGATATGCCTTCGCTCTTAATCCTTTCAGGCGGCACGATGTCGTACGACATCGTTCTCAACGGCGGATCAAAGTACTTGGATATCTAAGGTTTATGTATATGTTGCCTTTTAGAGAGGCCCGCTGTTTGAGAAGTAACTTGAAATTTTAATTTAATGACACTCTGTAGTAAAGTAAATTATACTATTCTCAAGATTATATTCTACAGACTTCTGTAATAGCCTCAGTATTCTATATAAAGTTCTACAGGCAATAAATTGCGTATAAGTATCTATTATATATAAATTATGTATAAGTTTCTATTATTGCAACATATATTATATGTTGCATGATTATCGCTGATCATCGCAGAATAATATTATTAAAAATTTCCTGCATAATTCATAATGATTTTTTTGTCTTCTTTTAATCACAATTTAGTTTCTAACTATAATCAACTCTCAAATAACTGCAATTTTTTCTTTCACAAGAAAATCTTAGAGAAAGTGAAGAATTGAAGATCTTCGAGCCAAGATTAAGTCGATGAAATATTCGATCGATTCTCTTAATTAAGGTCCCGTTTGTGACGAAAGAGTGAGCACGGTGTTTACGGTTTATTAACATTGCGCCTCGCTGTTGCTTTTCGTAGCACTCGGCAAAAACGATGCCGCCTGGAGGGTCTTTGGAGGCCGGATCGGCTTATTGCCGCACCTAATGAGAAGTTGATTTAGTTTTAATAGGTCGCGTTGCCACTCGCTACGGTAATTACGTCGCAGAACTGACGCGATGTCATCCTCGTTGACGCGTGAACCCGCAGCGATTGATCGATTCGCACTTCGCCGTGACGCGCAGCATTATCCTCGATGTGCGTGAAGAATCCCAGGAAAAGTTGGCGAAATTAAAACGCAAAGAGTATTGAGTAAAGAAAATTGCATGAAACTTGAGATGGAAATGAAGTAACAAATCGCTTGCAATGTTACAAGTTGTCAATACAATAGATAATAAAATATCCGTCAATATTAGGCGAATAAGTGTCGTATTTATAAAAAATAAAATTCTTTCGCATAATCGCATATTGATTATTTCACCTTTGTTTACCTTGTAAATAATTTTTAACCGTATTTTTTAACATAATTGAGTATATATTTTTGAATTAAAATAAATTAATTTTTGACTTTTATCTGTATAGCGAG